CATGTACAAACACGAACTTCGTCTCTCTTGGTTACCAGTTACGTTTTCTTTAATCCAATTATCTAAGCGCCGAAAAGGAAAATTTGGACAAAGACCTAGACAGCAGAAATTTGGTTGCATGCCGGTCGTAAGGTGAAGATGTAACTCATCGTTGATGTCGGCACTTTTTTTCGACTCGTCTTCGGAAAGGCTCGTAAAACCCTTCGTTTCTTGTAACTCAGGACCACTTTGTTACAAAATCGGATTCGCCATAGTGTCTCCGGGATTAAGATCACTAGACCGGAGACGAACTCCATAATAATCATCGTAAAATTAGAAGTTTATGTATTAACGCAGGGTATAGCAATATACATATACACGTCAACAAAATCAGAAGGGTAAGTGGTACTTTAAAGAACTACTCTATTCCCGTGATCATTGTTCGCCGCAGGTTCGATATATTATATATAAAAATCCCTTGAAGAAAAAGATACTTTTTGGTGCCGACAGGAACGAGCGTGAACCAATTCGAGAAAATAGGGCCATGTATTTTTAAGGTCGAAAACGAGTAGACTTTCCAGTTCTGTAAATTTATTTTTAAGGGTATATTTTTTAAGGGTAGCGCGATAACTGGAAACTTAAAAATTTATTACAGTGTTGGCGTTATTTATTGCTTATGTTATAAGCATTGCTCTGTCACATTTGATACCACTTATAAAATGAGAAAGCTCGCTTAATAGAAAGAAGAGAGAGAGAGACGTAATAATGTATGGGATCCGACTTTAATTTTAATTAGGATTGTTGAATTAGGATAATTAGAATGAAAACTAAATTGAGTGAAGTAAGCAATATCATAGATAATAGATAAAAATGTATATAAATATATTTTTTTGTTTTAGTGGCTTTTGTCTGCCATTTACTCTATCGATATGTAGGGTGTTCGTGAACTGGTGGTTCAATCAAGAAGGAGGTGATTCTATATGAAAAAATAAATTAAAAACGTAAAATAAAATTTTTTTTATATGAGATTTTGTTTTCGAGAAAATCTATTTTAAATATTTTAAATATTCGCTGGGTACACAAGTATACTTAACTGTATTATTAGATGATCGAGAATACACAATAAAAATAAAATATTCACTCACGAAACATTCTATTACTTTATAAATTGTTGAAAATGTTGCTCATTGCATCGAATAATTCTATTTTCCGAAATAAATTTTTATAAATCCTTTCTAACATATTTTGCTTTAATTTATCAATTAAATTCGTACTCGTCGAATATTTAAAATTGATTTTCTTGAAAAGCCTTATTATATGAAAAAATTTAATTCTAATTTTCAACTTATTTTCACTTATTTTTTCACGTAGAGAAACTCACTCTCTTTTCAGTTCACGAACAGCCTGTACAATGCAACGAATATTTATTTTTATTTCTATAACAAACAGCAATTCATCTGAACGAGTAAGTTTTCTATTCTACAGAAGTCAAAGGGTGTCACTGGGAATTAATCTGAGTACCCGCCCTATCCAAACATCAAATTGAACGATATCATGATCCCGTTAAACGCTGTAAACTCTTCGCACACCTAATACGATGATATTCCATGATAAAGTGTTCGATACAAGCAATCGAATGGATGTCGATCGATATTCACGTGATGATAAATGTGCACGATCTTCGGCGTACGACTGACCGATGTACTTATCTATTAAACCGATCGTGTAATCGCGCACTTGTCCTTCGTATGTCATCAATCGTCGCGGCAACCTCTCATAGCACTCTCCTTTGAGAGCTAATACTTCTCGGCATCGACGTCGCGAGTATGCCTAATAATAATATCGTTCGGGAGAAGTATATAAGCGCGGCCTGTGAAACGCGTGTCGCCGTTCGCCGAGCGCGCGCTAGGTATGAAAAAAAATCTCGTCATTTAATTACGGGACATCTAGAGCGCGTATAGCTCGTAACGACCACCGCTAATATTAGTACCATTCGCGGAAACGCGCTTCTGAAAAGCGATTAACGCAATACGCGGCACTCGCATTAAGCGTCAAGTGATTTCGCCTCTGGGATCGTGCATTAATTTCCTTTTGTAAGAGCCTGTGATCTTAATATCCGAATGAGCTTTGACATTCATTTAATTCTGACGTTGAAACTACGCGGAAAAATTTCTATTAAGTAATCCTGCTTTTATCCTGCACCGTTACGATAAATATTTATGCGCTTCGACGTTAGTTACTTCAGGGTAATATTTAAAATTAAATTTTTCGACAATAATAAAATAAATAATTAAGCAAACGAGGCCATTTTCGGTCAAGACGGGGTCTTGGTGCCTAATAATATTTCTGTGTGAATTTTTATAATTTCTTTAGTTCCGAATATTTGTCGGTCTTAAAACACAATTCTAAATTGAAGAGCTGGAATACGTAATAAAATAAATTAAATTGAAACAAGCAATTTAATATTATTGATGCTAATAAGCATCTTTAAAATACTGAAAAGAATTTACATCTATTATTTTATTATTACTAAAATTACTGTGTGGAATGTCGACGGCAAATTATTTGCGTTCTCGCAAATATAAAGAATATTATAAAATGAAAGATTGACATATTTGTGAGTTTCTACAAATTCTAATAGCACTGCAGATTATCAAACATGTGACATAACGTAACAACTCATTGACTCGTTTACTCGTTTGGTGAGAACGGTGCGAAAAATATTGCGGGTAATTACAAAATATTTCCGGTCGTCGCTTTTATGTACAAGCCATTATTATTGACATTATGAAGGTGTGTCACGCGCCGAGCAGAACGGAAGAAACGGCTGTTCACTGTGGTAATCTCTCACATGTCGCTTCGGGACATCGCAGATGCGTGATCCACGAGTGAGGAATCAATAGAAAGTTAAAGATCGTCATAACACGTCGATTCAGGTCTTTAACCGTGATCTCGATCGACACTTACCGCCCGTATACCGGCGTATTTCCGTCATGCGGAAACTCGAAGAGAACAACGGAAAAGAGGTGTCTATTCTTGTATATCTGTTATCATCGATAGGGCATTGTATGAAACGAATAATCCGTCTTTCAAAACGTAAGTATCCGTTATTAACGTGCTAAATTAATATATATTAATTGACCCGCGCGTCCCATTGTTGAATAAACCTACACAGTTTGCGCAATTGAATGTAATTAATTTTCACAGATGTAAATCTTAAACACTAAAATCAAAGGACTTTAAACACTGACGATCGAAAGAGTAAATCATTAATCAGATGCCACAAAGATCACATATATTAATAGATACATTAATAAATGTGATAATATGAAATTTATGTATGATTCAATGTAATGGAAATAACTTGTGTATCGTGCGTTACTGCATATTACAACAATTTGCGATTTACATTGCGATTATTAAATTGCATTTAATACCAGGAATCATGTTTTGTTATCGTATTACTTTTTTTTTCTATTCTTTTTTTCTCGTTTGTGCATTTATATATTCTTCGTAGTCTTTTTTGCCTACTTACGTACTACTGTATTAATATTCATTGATTACGAGTTTATTGATACGTTGGTATTGTACGTCTAATATTAGATACTCATATATGATCCGTCACTTACGATGCAGCATACAAGTCCGGAAAGGTTGCGAAAAGGATTCCTAAGTATTCGAGCGAAGTGAGCTCGGATTAGCGTTCGCTGACTCGTATTTTTGGCACCTGCCACACCTAATGCGCCACGAAATTCGAAACGTTCCGTATGTCAGGTTACAGGACTATAAAGGAATAAAATAAAGCACTGCTTTGGGAAGAGTTGAGCGTTTGGAAAGAGGCTAGCGCTTCGTGACTCTTTTGAAGTGCATCAATCAAAATTAAAACCCGTATTCATCACCGATATTTAACCGATTACGAGCGATAGGTTTTGCAAGCGATCAGCAGACACGCTTCGCACCCATTCTATCTCATTTCTCGGGATCTAAACGCGATATAACGGTGGTATTTTAAGCAATCTTAAAACTGCACGGCCGAATATCCGAAACTCATCGTCAAACGATTTGCATTTCTTTCGTACAGCTGATTATATCACGGTTAGGTATTTTTCCGCAAGAGATTGATGTTGCAGAAACCATGACGCCATGAACATTTAAATTACACGTCGTAATTAAAGGCGAAAACGAAAAAATAAAAAAAATAAGATTATTCGCTCAAAACTGTTTTAGTTAGATGATGTTGCCGTCGCTTGACTTAAATCGTGAACGCCTTATATCACGCAAAGTAAAACACAGCATACCGCATAAAAACTTTGCAAATATATAGTGTGCCCAACATATATATAAGTGCTGTGTTAAGAACAGTACTTTACTGAGCGAGAATTACTTAATGGGAAGATCAACGATTGAGATAAATAAGTATCATTACTGGAACTCTCTCTGATTCTTCATTTAGTCTAATCATATCTGATAGGATAATCAATTTTCAAATAATTTCGTATTTATTATCATCAATCAATCATTAACCAATTATTTGCTATGATACCAAGGATAAAATATACAAAGGTAAAAATTAAAGTATTCTATGTATATTTCTTTTTCAAGGATTATTTATCCACATTGTATTATAATAAAATTATGCAATACAGAGAAATATAATTAGAGTATTAAGCTGTTCTGTTAAATAACAAGTTAATTTGATAAAACTGTTTATTAATAAATTAAAATATATAAAATTTCTAACTCGAGATTACTAAGCAAAATTAGCTCTTGTTTTTTGACCTTTCTAATTACTAATTTTTATTTATTAACAATTAAATCGTAAAACACGTTAGACATTTCATTAAAATACAAAATTTTTCCTAGAAAAATTTGATACAGCCACATCTCAAGAATCGTCGTTAACTTGATATGACAATCGTCTCCAAACTATCCTTTTAATTCGAATCAGAAATGTAATTCCAGGATATATATTACAAGTTCGGTCACAAACAAAAGAAATGTGAAAATCTGTGAAGGCTTACCTTGACTGTGTTCGCCCGCGTCGAAGGTTTTGCTGGTCATTTGGAAGAGTGCGTCCAAGGGACTGCCCTGCCCTGTAGTTCTCTTGCCGTTTTGGCCAGCGTGGGAGCCGTGCTGCTGCGGCATTTTCCTCTTGAGCTGCTGCTGCTGCGGCTGCTGGAGCGCCGGATGATGCAGGCCAGGATGAATGCCCGCGTGATGAAGCGCGGCGTGATGATGGTGATGATGGGCGAGCGGGTCCGGGCTACCGGAATCCGACACGGAGCTCCTTCCGGACGACGAGGAGCTGCTGAGAGGTGGCTCGCTGATAGAACCGGACATAGACGCGAGTGACATACCCATCAGTGAGAGGTCCCGGGGTCCGGTCGCGTGACTCGAGTGACTACTGTGATGATGGTGGTGCAAATGGTGCTGATGATGATGATGATGATGATGCTGCTGCTGCTGCTGCTGCTGCTGTAGATGATGACGGTGTTGATGGCCAAGACCGGAATCCGTCGTGTCCCAGGGACGAACGATCTTTGCCTTCGGTCGATGCGATAGGATATCGAGAATACTGAAAGATTTAACTCCGCGATCATTGGATTCCCGTTCCCTTTCATCCTCCTCATCCGAATGTTGCATCTGCACCATCTTCAGGCGCTTCAGCGGCTTGAAGTAATCGTCCGTGGTACCAGCGGCCGCTGCTCCGTTGCTACCGGTCCTGCTGTCCATCTCTTCCTCTTCTTCCTCGTCCTCCTCGTCATCTCTGAGCGTTGTGACCGAATCACCGCTCTCGCGAGTTCTGCTACTTGTTCTTCCATTCGACATCCTGTATTCCCCGTTGCGGGAATAATCCCTCTCTTCGTCTTCCGTCATCGAGTCTCGTGGATAGGTTCTCCTGGGGCTCAGACGGTCGGCGTAATCCTCCCTGGAGGAGGCCAACTCGTCTTCCGTGTTGGGTGTCGCTACTACCAGCGGCAGCGGACTGGGACAGCCTACAGAGATCTCGTCTTCGTCGTCTTGAACATCTCCTCGACCCGGCGAGCCTCTGCACGATGTCCGTCGGTGTGCAGACGAGCCGCTCACGCAGCCGGGCGTCACGGCGCTGGAAGATACCGTTGTCGACGGCGACATCGTGTACGATTCCGTCATCTCCGTGGTACACATGCCACGCGCGGATATAGAAGGAGCTAAACTAAAAAGCTCGAGACACTCGCCTGGTGGCTTTTAACAGCCAGTCGCGAGGCCACGCCAAGTTAATCCTTCAAGCACCGCGCATTCTTTCGATAACGCACTTACGTTCTAAAACTGTTCACGGGATCACCACACGGTCCATCAAGTCTCATTCACTGGCCTAACATATTCAAGTCCTTGACAATCTTCGCGGAGAGCCACAGTCACGAAACTAATCGCACTAATCGCTATCGATGACCTGTCAACGCACTTGCAGTCATCGTGCTCCTCCTGACACGAGTCACATCATTGGCTTCCGGATCCGTCTCCTGTTTCTCGTCGAAACATCTCTTTGAAGCTCCAATGGCCTTTCGTCAAATATCAACTCGTAGACGAGAGATGTCAATCATTCCACCAAACGTCGACTCGTGACGTCGTCGTCTTCCTTCACTCTAGCGCACTGCCACCGTCGTCCGTTCGAAACTGGACACCAAAATATGATACCAGGGCTTCATAGCGAGCGCGTTATAGAACGCTTTCGTTCTCGAATGTCCTGAAACGACAACCTGTTTCTGCCGAGAGTAGAAACTCGATCGAATATCAGTCCTCTTCGCTAGCCTCACTAAACACCAGCACACAGAAAGAGAGCGAGAGAGAGAGAGAGAGACGCGTTTCTGATGCCGTGCGTCACTAGGACATCCGCAACGAGCGAGATACGCGCGCGAAACGTCAATACGTCGACATTTAACGAGTTTCGGCGCTAAGGAGGCAGCCGGGTGCCTCCTCTCAGGCCAGTCGAAGCCGGTGACGCGAAATGGTACGGTGGACGGGGATCCCCCGATACCGGTGTTGGGCAGGCGCTTTCCTCACGACCGGCTTAGCGCACGCGTAGAAGGACGGTGGAGCCGTTCGAGTTCAGAAACACGTTTCGAAGCCGCTGCCACGGCACCGGGTACCACCTCCGTTCCGAGAACGCGCCCCTTTGGCGGTCCCGTGGGCCGGGCGAGATCGAATCCCGCCTACAGTAACCTAACGTCGCCGGCACGGCAAAATGACGCCGCCGCTGCCACGGGATGGAATTTTTACGAGACGTACTTAACATCCCGCAGCGTCGCGGCGGGCGCGACCGTCCTTCCTTCCTTTCACCCCCTCTGCTCCCCTTCCTCTCTCCCTCTTTATTCTACCCTGAAGTAGCTCCTATCTTGCGCTCCTCTATCTATCTCCCTCTTCCTCTCTCCGTTTCGAAAGGCGCGTTCTCTCGCTCGAGAATGACGTGGGACTGACCCTCCACGACGCGGAGGGCGACTAACGAGGGCCCACCGTGATTTCGTCCCACCCGGAGCGTGGATTTCGGCCTCCGCCGCGAGCGGGTCTTGGGAACGGATTATCGGGCGGGATGTTGCGGGATGTTAACGGCCGCGTCTCGATCGCGCGGGACGGACGACTTTGAGAGACGCGCGGCGCGCAAACACATCTGATAGCGCGCGATATATTCCGCACGAGGAACCGACGAGGACTCGTCTTCCTCGTAGTATTATGCATTATACATTATGCGTAACATCTCTATAATTTGCGTTTGTCAGTTACTTCCTCTATTATTACCCACGTCTTTCTACTTGCCTGTATTATCGCACGGTTATTTGAGTATAAAATATAAATACGCGCGATATAAATAACGATAAAGATATATATTTTCAGTTTTTCTTTTTAAATATGTATTTGCGAGACCTTGCGGATGAGTTAAGCCGGCAATGTCGACGTGTAAATTATACTTGCCAGTTGCGATGCGACAAAGTTATCGCCTTGCTGGTGAGATATAATTTGTAAATGTGAAGTATATTAGACTGTATAAAAAAATATATTCTACAATCAAATTTTTTAATTAGAGTATCTTTTTTTTGCACACACATATATAAAAGAGAAATTCTTTCTCGTCTAATCGTGACAGATTGTCAAAGGCTGTAATTAATCCAACAAGCGGAAGTGTCTCTAATAAATCAGAGATAGAATTAATCGAATTGTCAAAGAAAAATGATGATTGCTGCCGTAGATAATGATTGTTGGTCTATTTTATAACGTTATAGTCGTTATAGAGATCTTGCACATTTAATAATGCTGTCAGTATCAATAAATACTGATAATACTATTGATTATATATGGTTAATATTGATTGATTGATTGATCGATGTAGAATATTGATAGTGAGATTTCTTCATTCTCGAGCATCAGTATCTTCTATCACAGCGAATGTTTGAGAATCAAAAAATCCAGCTCACCGTTAATAATATATTGTCAGTATTGCCATTCTGACAAATTATTGACCTTGTAAAATCTATGTACATAAAACTGAGCTGAAATATTATCAATAATACTGATTGTGTATAAGATTATAAAATTATTGATGCGTATTGTCAGTATTACTGAATTAATATTACTGATCAGCATATTATTGATCGTATAAGGTCTGCAATAAAAGAATATCACGTCTATTATATACAGATTATTATCTACAGTCTGATTTGAGAATCGATTTAGCTATGTATAATAATTGCGGCAATCTTCGTTGACAACTAGCATTGCTCGATATATATTATACTTTCTGTTATAAATGTTATTGAATTGCAAAGGTTAAAAACTATTATGTGCAAAGATGAAATATCAGAGTTTAAATACTATTACATGCAAGGCAAATGGAAAAAATGCTGTGCTATTTTTTTTTAATCGATTATCTTAATTGTTTCTTGTAATGGAATACTTGTGTCCTGACATTAAATATCTGTAAAATGTAGATAGAGGTAGGAATGCTATAAAACTTCTATTATCTTGCGATTAAAAATAATTATATAGTTTTACCTTTATATTATAATAGGCTACCAGTATAATATATATGTATAAGTTGAAAAAGTAATGCACTGCAGTAATTTATAATATTTCGAATTATTAATTTATTGTCGAATCAGAATATTTTTGTTTTATTATTAGAATTTATGTGGGTGTTGAAATTTTTTTTGGGCGAACTGCAATAATTCTAAATAACAATCCAGACTGTAACTTATCGTTGTCATAATTTTTTGTACGAATTGACAAATAAAGAAAAAAGCGAGCGTGTATGTATACGTTTCTATTGAATAGGTTCAATTAAAGAGAACAGAATCGAAGACCATTGAATTCTGTAGCGCATGTCATTTTTGTTCTTTCCACATGTTCGTGGTTTTTAGCTAATATAGAATTGCTTTACCGGACGCATCCGACGGATCGTTATACGTGCACGTTGTATTTCGAGACATTTTCATGCTCTTCAATTTCCAGTGATGCTAAAGATTGAAAACGTTACATAAAGTATATTATTTAATTAATTCAATTTTATAAAAAAATAAATAAAAGTTATATTATTTAATATTGTAAGAACAGTATTGATTATTATTATATTAATATTTAGCAATATAATTTGAAATATAATTTCGATCTTCCTACTCTATTAGTAGGATAAGATTAAAAAAAGTTTTCACTTATTAATTACTTAAATGAAAGTTATAAATGCCATGTTATGTAAAGGGAACGTAGCAAAAATTGCATGAAAATTCATCTTACATTACATAGATACTTCGTATATGACATGAACGTAATATTTCTCTGTCATTTCTATGCGTCGTAAATCGATATTACCTGCCGATTTGTGATGCAAATATGAATTTATATAATACCGAGAAACAATTTGCTTTCACCGAGTGATGAGTCGCTTTCGTGCCTTCAAAATTTCACAGAAGCGGATTTCGCGAGCCCGTAATATGAGCACCGATAATTGTAATAAATCGCGTCAACCAATTTACCGTGCTTAGCAGTACACGACGATACTAAATTGTGCGCGACTGCATGCAACGTGTAATCCAATCCTATCGACATCCTGCCTATCTAGATTGCTGCAGATTAATAGTTGTTATTTCACATAAGTAGCATAACTGAAAAATACATACCGCGCAAACGCGATGTGTATCTGTGAGGAACAATTGTGTCAGTACTTGGAGGCAATCACGTCGCATAGGATTAATGTGACTTTCGTAACAGTGTCTTTGATATTGATAAATTAATACCGGAGGAAACTGAGAAGTAAATTTCACCTGTCAACACTTCTACGATCAAAGAGGAAAGCAGGAAAGAGATTAAATAATTTTCTCATATTTTTACCTTCATTTCTAGTCTTATCTTTATGTCTTACACTTTATTAACTATTATGAATATGAATTCTATTGAATTAGGTTCTGTCTGAATAGACATATAACTCTGCTGTGTATCATTTTGTGAGCTATTCAAAATAGACACATGAGACAAGACAAAATATTCCTTCTCCAAATTGGAGTTATTTTCCTACACGAACATTTGATTAGATGATTTCATTCATAACTGCTTAATTTTTGACATCCCATTAGACATCCCAATGAGCAAGTTTCACAGTGTAACTTCAGTCTAAAACATCACAACACAATCCATTTAGAGATATATGAAAAATGGGACTCTTTTATTCTTCAGAAACGAGCATAATAATATTAGTTGTCAATCACTCATAATACGGGAAACAATTGGTCTTCCGTCTCTCGCTACGAAAGATGAACTCCAAACGGATCAGAGAACACGCTCGCCCAAAGTGCCTATTTGTTTCACGGACACCCTGTATTTAATTCTAATACACGACATCACGCGAGCCGCTCCGGCAATTAAAGAATCGTAGAGAAACATTTATTGAATCAATCAAACCGGTGCGAAACTCGGACGGACGGCGGATTGCCAGTACCTGCCGATTGGCGAGGATCGCGCGATCTCTCATTCACCGAAATCAGTAAAATCTTTTTAGAGTCCCCTTAAGTTCAATTTAGCAGGCAGGAGCGGTGCCGACCGTTCTACTCGGCCAGTTCGACCAACCGGACCGTCCGCGGCCCTTTTTCTTCCTCTTCTTCTTCTGCGTCTTCGCTTCTTCTTCTCAGCCTTCCACGTCGGCTTTTCTATCCCGATACAAAGAGGCGCGAGCGAGCCTAATTATTATGATAGCTCGCCACCGGATTCTGTCGGTCCCTTTGATCTGCCGCCGTTTAGCATGATCCCCCGATATTTAGGTAGGCTCTGTTGTCCAGGTTGGTTTTGGAGGGGGAACCCTCGTGCAGTAAAAGAGGAGAGAGATGATACGTGCGTGTGTGCAGTATACGTGTGTGAACGTGGACGAGGGGGGAGGAGGATTGAAGGTAGGATTTAGGGAAGGAATCCACCAGCAGGACAGGGATGCGATAAACTATCCATCAATGAGGATTTTTTTTCGAAAAGTTTACGCCTGTGTGTCTCCGTCTCCTCCCTTTCTGTCTCCTCCGCCCTCATTTCTTTCCCTCCGTCCCGCTTGATTGCTTCCAGCGGCCACCAGTTTCGTCGTTCTCGGGCCACACGCGAACGCCGATTACATTAAGACATTTTTTACAAAGTACGAAAGACCGACCTTTAATTGATAATTCCTTCTTTTTCACGCGCCGCGTCCGTTCGTATGCGTCCGTTTCGAACCGGTAAAAAATGACCTACCTTTTATGTGTGTAACGAGACGATCGTTTGTGATGCTTTTGTTATAATTGATTTGTAGAACAGCGGACGTCTTCTTTCTCCCTTTTTGTCAATATGTATAGTCATTGTTTTATCATTAGTAGCACATTTAACTACTAACATAAATATGAAGCACGTATTATTATATTTTATTTATGTGTAACATTCGAATGTGCAATATTAATTTAAAATTTTTCGTACTTGAAAAATTTTGT